TTATGGCTATAACTTCTTGGTATATCGGTCTATCATAGTGAAACTTGGCATACGGACACATAATTACTAACTGGGGGTATTTGCAAAATTTTAGTTCGAAATTCCAAGAATTACGCATTTTCGGGGGTGAGGGGGGAGGGAGGGAAATTCCAAAATATACATTTTCTACGTATTCACACAAGGCACCTTGGACTAAAATTTGGTGTTCCTAGGTCTTATGGTCTCCGAGATATAGGCGATTATACGAATGGAAAATCGGGAAAACCCCCATAGGGGGGAAGTGGGGGGAAAATCAAAAAAATAAAACAAACTCGTTTAGAATACACCCATAACGCATCTTTGTGCAAAATTTGGTGCCTCTATCTCTTATAGTCTCTGAGATCCAGGTGTTCATACGGACGGACAGACGGAAAGACGGACAGACAGACAGACAGACAGGGCTAGATCGACTCGTCTTGTCACGCTGATCAATAATATATATACTTTGTGGGGTCTGCCACGCCTCCTTCTGCCTGTTACATTTTTCAGCTCCCGCAAACCTAATATACTCTTGTACATTTCATGTACAGAGTATAAAAACAAGATAGAACGCTACAGTCGAGCAAGCCCGACAGTAAAATAGCCTGTACTCTCCACAAAACAGAAAAATTAAAAAAAAAATTTTTTTAAAAATTAAATTATTAAAAAAATGAATGAATTAATTAATTAATTAAATTAAATTAGAATACATGTTTATGTTCAGTTTTAACAGCATACATTTACATCACGTACCTATGCGTGTTTATATGCGTGTATGTATGCAGCACAAAGTTGAACCAAAGCAGCAACAACAACAACAGCTGCGGGCAGCGCATGAGCAGCGATTTTACTTATGGCTATAACTTTCTTCAGAATTGACCTATCATGATGAAATTTGGCACACGGACACATTAGTACTAACTGGATGTACCTACCAAAATTCCGAGAATTACGGAAGTTATAAGAAACAAGAGAGAACGCTACAGTCGAGCAAGCCCGACAGTGTAATACCCTGTACCCAGGTAAAATTCCGTCACTGAGTTATATGCGCCCAAAGCAGCAGCAAAAAGAGGAAGAAGAAAAGCGAACTTGTTGCTGCAGTTTGTGGGTGTTGCACTGGAGAGAATTTGTTTCGCTAATAACTTTTCTTAGAATTGACCGAATTGAATAAAATTTTGAACAACAGTAGACAATTATATGTTAATTATGTGTGCAAAGTTTGGTTTAGGTAGCAAGCGTAGGTAGCGGGGGAAGGGGGGGAAAATTAAAAAAAAATAAAATAAACTCGTCCTTACTCGGACCTAGGAGAATCTGAATGCCAACTTTGGTTATTCTAGCTTTTATAGTTTCTGAGATCCTTGCGTTCATCCAGACGGACAGACGGACGGACGGACATGTCTAGATCGATTTCTCTCGTCATGCTGATTCAGAATATATATACTTTATAGGGTCGGAGATGCATCCTTCTGCATGTTACATACTTTGCACAAACCTAATATACCCTTTTTACCCTACGGGTACAGGGTATAAAAACACGAATTGCGGGGGAGTGGGGGGGTGCATCGAAAAAAATCTCAAACTCGTACTTTCTCGGTCTTAGGAGAATATGGAAACCAAGTTTGGTTATTCTAGCTCTTATACTTTCTGAGATCCTTGCGTTCATACGGACAGACAGACGGACGGACGGACAAGGCTATATCGACTCCGCTTCTCATCCTGATCAATAATATATATACTTTGTGGGGTCTGCCACGCCTCCTTCTGTGTGTTACATACATGCGCACAAAACTAGTATAGCCTTTCACCCTTTGGGTACAGGCTATAATGAAGAGAGGCACCAAACAAAGTTAAGTCCAAAATTTAGAGGGCCGTTTCAAATAACTGAACTGTTAGACGGTGATAGATATATGCTCAAGTCATTGAGGAGTAATAGAAAATATATGTATGCGCACGATGATTTAAGAAAACTGCCAGATGGGCAAGTACCAGCTGAATTTGAATGTTGTGATGAGAATTTGAATGTATAGATTGAAATGGAAACTGTTAAAAGAGACAGTAAAGAGAACACCAGTGAGGGTGAAGCTTTTGAAAGAGACAGTACTGCTGCCTGAAGGACTGATTATCAAACCTTGAATATTGGTCAAAATGCAAGCACAAGTGCAAAACAAAAGTTTTGGTCATGGTGTGTGGCGCATTAGATAGAATGATATGAAATCTGATGGATAAATATGATGTCAATAGTAACAAGAGAGAACGCTACAATCGAGCAAGCCCGATAGTGTAATACCCTGTACCCAGGTAAACTTCCGTCACTGAGTTATATGCGCCCAAAGCAGCAGCAAAAAGAGGAGAGTACTGGCGAGAATTTGTTTCGCTAATAACTTTTCTTAGAATTGACAGAATTGAATAAGCAACAGTAGATTATATATATATAAATTATGTGTGCAAAGTTTGGTTTAGGTAGCATTTGAAATGTGGACGCTTTTGACGATATTCTGTAGCGTGGGAAGGGGGGGAAAATTAAAAAAAAAAAAAAACTCGTCCTATCTCGGACCTAGGAGAATCTGGATGCCAACTTTGGGTATTCCAGCTTTTATAGTTTCTGATATCCTCGCGTTCATCCAGACGGACGGACATGTCTAGATCGATTTCTCTCGTCATGCTGATCAAGAATATATATACTTTATGGGGCCGGATATGCTTCCTTCTGTATGTTACATACTTTGCACAAAACTAATATACCCTTTTTACCCTACGGATACAGGGTATAAAAAGAGAATTGAATTATTTGTGTTTGATTTAAAGAAAAGAAATTTGTATAAGCTTATTAAGTATGGAACCAAAATTTGAATATCAAATGTGTTAAATGAATTAAAAAGCATTTACATATGTTAAAAAAAAAATCATTACGTAAGAAATTTAAGCAAGTAAGAAAATTAAGTAATGTTTCATTTAAAATTCAATCATTTGTTAATAAAATAATCTTTATCGCAAACATTAATGTTGCAGGTTGAGGTCGTGTAATGGTCAGGATGGCCGTGTCGGCGCTTACATGAATGTGTGTGTGGGACTGTACATTTAAGAATATTTCACAACAATTGCCAGTGGCACATTGCTGTTTATGTTGCGTCTGTTCGGTTTGCATTTTTGTCGCTTTGCAAAGATCCGTTAGAGCGGGGCGACAGTGTGGTTTGATGGTATGCGAAGGGAAAAAGAAGAGCGTTGTAGGCAGTTTTGTTCCTGAGTCGCCTTGCATACGCATCGAAACTCGCTGCGCTCTATAAATCTACGCAATGGAGAATGTTACTTCGACATACATATGTATGTATGTGTGCATTGGGCCTGGTTATATGGCTATATCTTTCTTTCTAATCACCCTATCATAATGAAACTTGGTATACGGATATATAATCACTAACTGGATGTGTCTACCAAATTTTAGTTAGTTAGTTTAGTTAAATTCCAAGAATTACGGGAGTTATAGAAAATCGTGAATAGGGGTAGAGTAGGGGGTGCATCGGGAAAAATGAACAAACACGTCCTTCCTCAGGAGAATCTTTGTACCAAGTTTGGTTATTCTAGCTCTTATACTTTCTGAAATCCTTGCGTTCATACAGACAGACGGACAGATAGACGGACGGACAGACGGACATAGCTATATCGACTCGGCTTGTCATGCTGTTCAAGAATATATATACTTTATGGGGTCTGCCACGCCTCCTTCTGTGTGTTCCATGTACACTCGCACAAAAGTAATATACCCTTGTACCCTTTGGGTACAGGGTATAAAAATCTAAGCCGGAAAAGATGAAAGCCCTTTGACCTTTGCTTTTGAGCTTTTAAGCGCCATGACACTCTTATTGTCAATTACAGCTGATCGAAAACAGCGTTGCTTATCTCTTGTTGAACATGATTGGTGTCACAGCGAAAGATACATATGTCAGTTGCAGCAAAATATGAGATATCGAATTTCCTTATCAAAGTTTTTCTATCCTCCTGCACAAATGTCCTCAATAGTTATTGTACACTACAGACTCCGCTAATACATGCTCAATACAGCGAAAAGCTCGTGAACTGCAAGCCGTTGTCAATTATGGGCAGCCGTAGCCGTGGTCAAAGCGAGTCACTGTTCGCTCTCGCGACGCCACCTTCACTGCCGCTGCGCACAGAGACCAGTTCCGCAAATCGCGATCATATATTTTCTCCCGGCCCTCAAAAGGTGCACACTAGCATCAGAAATGCTTATGTTCTTTGGATAAAATCAGTTTAGTTAGATCAGTAGAAGTGGATTTCATTTCCTAGAAAAATCAAAGCCTCTAAGCGGTCTGAGCGGCTTTTCAATTGGTCGACTAAAGGTCACGCATTAGTTTCGTGAAAGGCTCTACAGCGATATCCAAAAGGGACGTCCCACTCCAATCACTCGCGCACCTGCTGCCTGCCGCAAGCTTAGCAATTCAACCGTTGAGCGTTTGGGCAGGAGGCAAAGCCGAACCCCTTCACCCCGCGTGGCCCGCGGTTCTGCCTTGGCACATGTGCTGACGCAGCCAGGGCCACTTACGCATATAGCGCTTGACTCACTACGAGATTGTCTGGTAATTTCAAGCAGTGTGTATTTATATGCAGGTTTGTTTTACCATTACCAAAATAGGATTAATTGCAACCGTGCTCGCATGTTGATGGTCCCTAAAAGCCATAGGAAATTCGTCCCATACAGTGATCGAACTCTTTTGTAGTAGCCATTTTTACCTTTTGTGTAATGGTACACATTGGGTTAGATTTGTTATGAACATCTAATGGGCGAATCCAATCCACCATCAAACAAGGTGGCAGCAACTGGCGATGCAATTGCCAAAGCATGTTGCCGGTGCCGCCTGGTGCATCTAAGATTTGTTCTTTGTGTAAATACTTATAAATAATGATAAGAAATCAAGCAACCTTTGCTTGAAAATTTTGGTACCTTGCTAAAACAAAATAAATTTTTTTTATAAAATAACTTATAATGTCTGAAACGGCAATGTCCACGGGAACGGAATCAGCTTATCGCCAATCAGATGAAAGTGATCTAAGCTTAACTAATTGTTGCCGTATTTGCAAACGCAATGCAGCAAATGGTGCAAAGCTCCGACCGCTCTTTTCTGGGGAACGTTTAATACGTATTATCGTCAACACAATACATATGGAGGCAAGAATAATCACATTCTGCTATTACTAATATGACAAGCTCATCCCTATCTACAGATTAAAGATGTTCCAGGACTCCCACGCTATGTGTGCGAAAAGTGTCTGGATGTGTTAAAAAAGTTTTCCACCTTCCAGTTAGCCTTTCGTCGCTCTGAAGAGAAGTTATACATGGCTTTGGAAAGGCGTAAAAATGCACCCATGGAATCACTTATTACTTTTGCTCACGAAATTGAAACGGACCGGCAAAAGGAAAAAGAACTAAAGAAGGCAACTACAAAGAATTCCAAAAAAGAAAAAAAGACAACTAGCCCTAAATTAAATTTGGACAAAAAGTTTTAATTTATTTGATGCGTTATTTTCAGTGTATTGTGTCTCTAATATGAAATGAAAAATTTAAACAATGTTTATAAATAAAAATAAAACTAAACAATATTTGAAGGTTTGGTATAAAATATAAGCGGGGAAAGAATGCTAGAATCGAGAACGGTCAACTCTACAAAAAGGAACAAAACATATAAAAAACTTTAAAAAATAATTTAAACAAGTAAAAAAGCTAAAGTCGGGTGTCCCGACTTTGAAATACTCTGTACATATGTTTAGAATAATCATAGAAATTAAAAAAATAAAGAAAATTAAAAAAAATTTTGATCGATTGGGCAGCGCTGGAGCACCAAATATATTTATGGCTTTAACTTCTTGTTAAATCGGTCTATCGTAATGAAACTTGGCAAACGGACACGTAATAAGTAACTGGGGGTATTTGCATATTTTTATACCCTGTACCCAAAGGGTACAAGGGTATATTAGTTTTGTGCGAGTGCACATGGAACACACAGAAGGAGGCTTGGTAGACCCCACAAAGTATATATATTCTTGATCAGCATGACAAGCCGAGTCGATATAGCCATGTCCGTCTGTCCGTCTGTCTGTCCGTCTGTCTGTCTGTATGTATGAACGCAAGGATCTCCGAAAGTATAAGAGCTAGAATAACAAAACTTGGTATACAGATTCTCCTGACACCGAGAAAGGACGAGTTTGTTCATTTTTTCTGATCCACCCCCCCCCCCCCCACTCCCACCCTATTAACGATTTTCTATAACTCCCGCATTTCTTGGAATTTTAAACTAAAATTTTGGTAGTCACATTAGGTTAGTTATTATATAACCGTATACCAAGTCTCATTATGATAGAATGATCGGAAAGAAAGTTATAGCTATATAACCAGGCCCAATGCACACATACATACAAGTACACAAACACGCATAAGGCACGATTCTGATGTAATATGGTGATGGAATATTTTATATTTAATTTAGTTAATTAATTAAATTAATTTAGTTAATTAATTAAATTAAATTAATTAATTAATTTAATTACTTTTTTGTGGGGTGGTACAGGGTATTTAAGAGTTGAGCCTGCTCGACTTTAGCATTCCTTTCTTGTTAGTTCGAAATTCCAAGAATTACGGGAGTTAGAGAAAATCGCGATTTGCATGGGAGAGGGGGAAGGGAGGGAAATTCCAAAAACAAATTTTCTGCGTATTCACATAAGGCATCTTGGACTTTAAATTTGATATCCTGTAAACTTCGTATATTTATTAAGCTTTATTCGCTACGGATGGGTTATATTTATTGCGATTTTAAACTTCGTGCACACTTTATACCTCTATTCTCTTGTTCTTCTTCATTCAGTGTGTCCCTACTCCCACGCCATATCAATATACACTCTTATTTAAAAATTACTTATACGGTACAATAACATCGATACATATCGATGTACGTTAGACCTTTACATTCGGCCAACCTGACATTTGACTTATTAGCTTATTGCGCGTATGCATCCATGGTTTGAATTCCTAAATACGGTAATTGCGTAAGCTGACAATCGTCAATATCAGTTATTTCATACCGATCGTTCGGAAATACACGGTTTACTTTATATGGGCGGCGCTTTATGCCTTAATGCATAACGAACTTCATTGCGTTCTTGCGATAATTGAATGTTAGCACCAGCTTTCTGTCTTACGGTTTCAAGGCTGTTGGGGTCCCTAGAGCTGAACTTCTCTACCAGGTACTCGGTTAATTCGTCTACTATAGGTCCCCTCTGATCACAACCAAACAACAAAACACATGGAGTTTTAGCAGTACTACAATGCACCGAATTGTTTAAAGCATACTCAGTCCGATTAATCGGTTTATACCAGTCAGCTTGATTCAAGGGCTCGGACAACTTTCCCAGCATCGGTATCAGCACTCGATTTACCCGCTCGACCTGCCCATTGACTTGCGGCGCTGCAGTGGCTACCTTTATATGTTCAATATTTCTAGTCTCAAGGAACTCGACAAACTCAAACGACGTAAAACATGAACCCCTGTCTGAAACAATTCGTCGAGGGCGACTATAATACTCAAAATATTTTTCCAAGGACGCTTTCACTTCTTTCGTGCTGGTCGAATTAACAGGGTATAATTTCAGAAACTTAGTGAACGCGTCAATGACAACCAACAAATGCTTCCTCTTCGAGTTTATACTTGGTAACGGACCCAAATGATCAATGTGAATCGTGTCAAATGGGACGGGGTTCTTTGGAATACTATGCAAAGTTCTGTTATGTATGGTTTTTGGCACGGAGTGCAAAATACACGGCAAACAATTCCTAATGAATGATTCGACTTTACTTTTCATCGCAGGGAACCAATATCTTTCTTTCAGACAATTGACACATTTTTCGGCTGCAAGGTGACCTAATTTCTCATGGCATCTTCTAATTAATTCTTCCTGCATTAGAGTTTGGGCATACAAGCATAGTTTTTCCTCAGTATTCATTCTATACACAATTCTATCAACTCAAAATTTTGTACAGCGCCATTTTCCAATTTATCCCTCAGTTGACGCACTTCAGGATCTCTCATCTGTTCCGTCTGTAATAGCAAATCAACATCTTGCGGAGTGGCACCCACAACGCCAACTAATTTTGTGCATTCCATATCGCTGTTGTCTAATACGTTATTATCAAACGAACTGGTCGAATTTACTTTTCTAACTAAATCATGCGCTTTCTCTATGTCAAATGATTTCTCTACATTGTGCAATTTGTCTATGTCGCGTTCTTTGGACACAATAACACACGGACCGACTACGTCCCCAGAATTATCCTGTAAAAGCTCAGTTTGTCTACTGAATGCATCCACATGCGCCATATTTGAACCTGGCCGGTGGGCGATCGAGTAATTATAGTTTTCTAACTCCAAAGAGCATCGCGAATTGCGTGGATTTATCGACTTCTTGCTCAAAGTCTGCACCAAGGAACTACAGTCAGTAACTATTAGAAATGGACGATGCTCCAAATAATCGCGGAATCGGCGCAACGCATAAATTATGGCCAGAGTCTCAAGCTCAAAGCTATGATAACGCGACTCGGCGGCCGTTGCTCTTCTAGAGTAGAAGAACACTGGGTGAATCTTGCCATCGGGCTGCCGTTTCATCAACGCAGCGCCGAATCCATGCGAGTTACATAATTGGGATTAAATATAGACAGAGTGGGCGGACTGGATAAGGCAGATCGCAATGTGTTGAATGCTTCTCTTTCAAGCTCTTGCATTGGAAAAGGTCCTCCCTTTTTCAGCAACTCTGTTAATGGCTTTGCCACACTTGAAAATTTCGGAACTAACTTGCGGAAATAGGAAAAATAGGAAGAATCCCTTGGGCGCTAGCATCATATCCTAAGTAGTCGATTCGCTTCTGTAAGGAAATACTTTTCTTGAAATTTATTTCTAGGCTATTCTCACAGAGTCTATCAAGTAGCTTTCGCAGCAATTGGAAATGCTCTGTGAGGGTCCGTGTAGCTAATATTATGTCATCCATATACACCACAATTTGGTGACTCCTAATCATGTCACCCAAAACATTTGATATGAATCTCTGGAAAACTGATGGCCCATTTTTTAGCCCAAACGGCATCCGCACATATTCAAAATGACCAGCGGGAACAACAAATGTAGTATATTTAACAGACTCCTCGTCTACTCCCACATGGTGGAAACCGCTTTTTAAATCAATTACAGAAAATACCGATTTACCCTCAAGGTATCCCAAACAATCTTCTATCAAGGGCAACGCGAAATTATCTGTCGTCGTTTTCTTATTTAATCCACGGTAATCTACGCACATTCTAATTTTCCCGTCTTTCTTTTTCACTAATACCACTGCCGATTCGTATGGGGAATTACTTGGCCGAATAACCTTATTTTCCAACAACTCTTTTATAGTGTCATTGACAACACCCCTCTCGTAATAGGACAATCTACGGGGAGAACTATAGAAGGGAGTAGTGTCAGTTAGTCGAATACTCATCATATTCTTAGGTGACCCGTAACTCATCGAAAACTTGTCAACATAATGGCCATCCACAATTCTCTGGCACTCCCGCATTGCGTCGCTACCAAACTCGCCGCCCACGCCAACAATGTTGTTGTCCAATGCTACAGCGCAAACTGATTGCATTTCCGAAAACCAATTCTGCAACTCACTCTCAACCTTAGATGCATTCGTGCTTACAGAAACGTTTTTAATGGCAGTGCCAACAGTATTGTTTTTATACCCTGTACCCAAAGGGTACAAGGGTATATTAGTTTTGTGCGAGTGCACATGGAACACACAGAAGGAGGCTTGGTAGACCCCACAAAGTATATATATTCTTGATCAGCATGACAAGCCGAGTCGATATAGCCATGTCCGTCTGTCCGTCTGTCTGTCCGTCTGTCTGTCCGTCTGTCTGTCTGTATGAACGCAAGGATCTCCGAAAGTATAAGAGCTAGAATCCACCCCCCCACTCCCCCCTATTAACGATTTTCTATAACTCCCGTAGTTCTTGGAATTTTGAACTAAAATTTGGTAGTCACATCAGGTTAGTTATTATATAACCGTATACCAAGTCTCATTATGATAGAATGATCGGAAAGAAAGTTATAGCTATATAACCAGGCCCAATGCACACATACATACAAGTTAATTGAATTAAATTAAAACAATTAATTAAATTAATTTAGTTAATTAATTAAATTAAATTAATTAATTAATTTAATTACTTTTTTGTGGGGTGGTACAGGGTATTTAAGAGTTGAGCCTGCTCGACTTTAGCATTCCTTTCTTGTTAGTTCGAAATTCCAAGAATTACGGGAGTTAGAGAAAATCGCGATTTGCATGGGAGAGGGGGAAGGGAGGGAAATTCCAAAAACAAATTTTCTGCGTATTCACATAAGGCATCTTGGACTTTAAATTTGATATCCTGTAAACTTCGTATATTTATTAAGCTTTATTCGCTACGGATGGCTTATATTTATTGCGATTTTAAACTTCGTGCACACTTTATACCTCTATTCTCTTGTTCTTCTTCATTCAGTGTGTCCCTACCCCCACGCCATATCAATATA